TTCACACATGAATTGTACCAAAACGTGCAAATGTTTATTAATAACTGTAGAACAACAAACATAAATGTGGTCACAGGACGGGAATAAACGTTTGGGCGACCACGAGCTCATTAATCTAACACAAATAGCAACCGGCGTATTATTCAAGCAGCCAGATTTAATATATGTAGGGGCTGTTAGAACTATAATCCTTTCCGACTATACTCCTTAGGTACTGACTGCACGGTTGGCGCGGTGGCTGCGCAACTGGCTGCGGCGCAACGTGTCGCAGGTTCGATTCTTGCACGCAACTACTGTTTGTATGATCCACAAATTGTTGTTCCGGGTCTGGGTGTGATGTATATGTGAAATTTTATGTTTGTAAACGCCACGAGACAGGGGAAAATATAAGAGTGGGGCAACGTTTTTCTTTAAAAAATACACTACTTCAATTTATAGCTCTTCGCTATCTCAGGTAAAAATCACGAACAACGCAGACAGACTAGGAACGCAGAGATTCTCATTAAAAGTCGGAGACGCTGCTGCCCTCTAGTGGGCGACCCTTCAAACTTTTCCGCCGAAATCGTTAACGAAAAGAAGTGAAAACTATTATGAATGCTGGAACTCGAAAAGTTTTTTTTTTTTGTTCGATGGGAAGTATTCTCAAAAATATGATCTTCAAACTACTGAAAATTTAGCATCTTTCCCGCAGTCTGCCTTTAATATACCTATAACTGCGCATTCAAATATCCAGGGTAATATTTTGAATGAGGGGAATATTTAAGGACCCGATTCTGGTGCTCAAATAAAACCATATTTTTCATTTTTTTTTATGGAATAGGTGGCAAACGAGCAGACGGATCACCTGATGGTAAGCGATCGGCGCCGCCCATGGACATCCGCAACACCAGAGGAGTTACAGGTGCGTTGCTGGCCTTTTATGAAGGAATAAGCTCGTTTCTTGAATGTTTCTTCATGGGACCAATATCCAAATCTCAAATATACCTAAAGTTATTTTTCCATACAAATCTCAACAGCAGCAACATTTCCATATTGGTCTTATAGAAAAAGATTTTTTATTTGAGCATCAAAATCGGGTCCTTGAATGTAGGGTTTGTATGTAGGGGGTAATCTTTGGAACGGCTGGTCGGATTCCCAAAAAAAATCTTTTACTGATAGATGGCTACAACTTTCCTGAGTCCTATAGGCTATAAAACATCACCCTACGATCAAATTGAGATTGATTGAATTTTTTGATTGAAACCGCGCGAGGGAAGCTAGTTTAAAATAAAATAGTTTATAAATTAATCTAGTAAGATATACTTACTTATTTATAATAAATGCGAAAGTTACGATGTTTGGATGTTTGTTGCTCAATCACGCCAAAACGGCTGGAGGTATCTGGATGAAATTTTGCACAGGCATAGGATACACTCTGGAATAGGTCATAGGCTACTTTTTATCAACATACTACGCGGGCGAAGCCATGGGCGGAAGCTAGTAAACATATATTTATCATTCGTCATCCCTTTTACGACGTGTTTCCTACATTTTAAAGTTAGCGATACCTACATCCTGAAACGGAATAACTCAACGTTTCCTCCTTCAATCTGTTCTGTCAGTGAACTCATCTATCATTTCCTTTAGCGTTTCATAAGTCTTCAACCTATCATTCATACAAATCATACGTTGCCTTAGCAACATGTTATTTATAAAATAACCAGTAAAAACAAATAATTTATTGTAAATAAAAACCTAAAATACTTAATTAAAAAAGTAACTTAAAATTATAATATTAATTTTATTATAGATTTGCTTAAGTGACCATAAGCTTCAAAAACAAAACCAAGAGTGTCCAATCCCCTTCACATGTTTTTAATTCTTTAAAAAATCTATTTAGGTAGTAAATACCACTCGCGTTTTGTAAACTGTTATTAAAAGTGATTGTATTTTCCGAGATACATTAAACATTTCTAGCTTACGAAATGAATAAAAAATACTCAACGATATCAATTTGTTTAACATTTAAGAAATTGTGCAAGTTACTCGCTGGTGGAGTCAGTGAGTCAGTCGGCATTCCTGACCTTATTGCATCATGGCGGCGCGCGGCGTATCAAGCGGATAAGCGTTCATCGCTCCTCAGGTATTACGGGGGAGCATTACGTCTTCATAAACGATCTCTCTAGTACTGTCAGCTAGAAAATATTCCATACCAGCCCAGCTTACTTAGCTTTTGCCCGCGACTTTGTTCACGTGGAATAGTGACTTCCTGCAGATGTTTAAATACTATCCTATGTCCTTTCCCGAGTTCCAAACTATGTCTGTACCAAATTTCATACAAAAAGTTTCAGTAGTTTAGGCGTGAAGAAAAGACAGACAGACAGAGTTATTTTCGCATTTATAATATTAGTTTTGGGTTATGTATGAATAAAAAATTAAAACGCAGATATTAAAATTCTTCGTTTACTACTCATTCAAACACTTGTCTTTCGCGTCCATTGACAAGAGCAATTAACAAACCTGTCTCCGAGATATAATCAGTGTCATTTAAATTAATGTTTAATTTAATCATGATAATTATGACAACACGTTACGATTATAATCTTAACATTGATTAGAAATTACGTGCTCGCATCAAAATTCTGTATAAAAGCTTCACACGTGAAGCCATATTCTTGGACTTAAGTACTGCTAATAGATCCTCCTCAAACTGCTTTAACATAACATTTTATAACAGTAATAAAGTAAAGCCTTCCTTAACGGCGCCTCGCTGTATTCATTAATACATTAGAGAGAGAACATTCTCATAAAACTTTGTTCTTCGAAAGTACATTATAAGTATCTAGACGAAGTGCATTCCCAGGTGGTCGGGTGTCGAGTTACGACGCCTTGTACTCTACATAATAAAACAACTTCTCTACCAGACGTACCGTCGATCATTGTATACGTCAGCGAAATGTTATGAAGTACGGACCGTACCTACACTGCACCGTGTGATGCATTAAGGAGACTTTGCAGGACTACTTTCCACACGAACATCGTTCCTTTGAATCTAGATTTTAACAGAGAAATATAGACACGGGAGGGTTTTCACAAACATCTATACTAATGTTATAAATGCGAAAGTAACTCTGTCTGTCTGACTTTTCTTCACTCCTAAACTACTGAACTGATTTCTGTGAAATTTGGCACAGACATAGTTTGGAACTCGAGAAAGGACATAGGATAGTTTTTATACCAAAAATCTGCAGTAAGACACTTTTCCACGCGAACAGAGTCGCGGGCAAAAGCTAGTTTTAAATATTTCTGCAATTACTACATTTTTATCTTACTTACCTATGCTAAATGACATAAATATAACCTGAAAGTACATGAAACTGTAAACGAAAAAAATATTTCTAATATAACTCGACTCGGAGCGCTTCCAATCTGTCTCCATTTCAAAAGAGCTAGTAAATTGCAACGTGCCAATGCATATGATATTTCAGAAGCAAAAGAAACTGTAAGTATAAAAACTTTTCTCTTTTTGTCGCTGTTTACGATATTTTCCTTCTTTATTTTGGTATCATCATGATAGAATTTATACGTCTTTTGCGAATATTTTAAGCTGCAGGATATACCTTCGTGTGACTTCAATCTGTCTGTTTCATTCCATGCCAATCATAATAGTTAACAGTGAATATTTGCATCTATCTCTACACTATTTTTTTTTATTTGTTTTTTAAGGGGGCGGGGTGTATTTTGTGGCCATCTGTGGCTTCTCTTGTTCAGGGAGAGGCGAGAGGGAGTATCAGACTCTTACTAACTCTGAGAATCACTCCATTCCTTCTCCCGCTCCAGGCCGAAGCCGCGATACATGATACCTTATGACCCGCAACAAAAAAAGTAAACAAAGTCGTAACACTAAGACAAGTTCAACTTTTATGCCAAGTGCATTAACACCATATTTTTAGTCTCAAAAATTCATTTAAAACGTACAATTTAAGCAGTGTCGTTACTAATAAATTTGGGATTACGTAAATAAAATGAAGTTATCAATTCTGAGAAAAATATTCCACGTGAATGAGTATAAATAATTCAGAGGTTCTCATCGTCTGAATAATATTACTGTATCGACCACGTTTAGTAACTGCAGGCGGATGATGTATGACACTAATTACCATCAATTATGCCTACTTGAATAATTCCAGTCAGTGTAGAGCTTACCAACTAGTAAATTACCATCCATATTATTGGTACTTTGAGTATCCTGACTTTTAACTTTTGTAAAACATCGTCATAACGTGCAAATTGTAACCTACTGTTAAATAACACAATTATATCTATTTTAGTCAACATTATTTGCTGTTTTTATTTAAAAATGATTTTGTTCTTAAATTAAACTACAAGTTGTTGGAGCAAATTGACGGCGGACTACGGAATTATTGGATGTTATTTTGTTTAATATTTAGGCAATACTTACAAAATAAATATAAAAAAATTAAATTCATCAGTGTCAGCCTATAAATATGAGCAAAGACCTGTCCACACAAGATGAAGGTTTGAGCATTAATAATCATGCTTGCTCAGTGCGGATTTCGAAAATACGTCAGTGGTGTCTAAACAATCATAGAAATTACACATAAATCGGAAAAAGTCACATTAGTACTTTCCAGGTGTCGAAACCACCTTGACCACCTGCAGTGTGATTCTATAAGACTTTATTCTAAACTTCGAAACTGAATGTGATGATCTGTGAGAAGAAGTACACTAGCACTACATTTGCGAGTTGAACCAAATTGATCGCAACATTTTGATAGATAAAGTATGAGATGACGTTAAAAGTGGTAAGCATTCTAAAATGAAATTTCCCCGTCACTTCTTGACACAATTCGTGTTGTTAACGTATGTCGCTTACTTCACACTCGAATAAGATTCAAAATCAAACAAATTTCATAGAATCGACGTGCATAAGAACGACGACTACGAAAAATAAAACATGAAAATGATGTGCAAAGTTATTAAAATACTTCAAGACTTACCAGTTCTGTACCCTGCGTTGGAAAGGTAGGTTGCGAAGGTGTTGGTCTCGTGCGTGGCTTGCCACTGCGGGGATGAGCAGTTGTCGTTGTTCGTGTACACGTTGTGGTTGTGCACGTAGACACCAGTCAGCAATGAACTCCTGGAGAGAAGGGCAGGATGTTATAGGAAAAAAGAAAACAGGTAGACCTAACTGAAGCTAGTAGATATCATACGATAGGACATAGGACTATCTTCGATATCTTTAACTGTTAGTTGATCATAACAATGCTTAAAACATTTCTAAAAGGAACCTACTTCTTATAGGAAACTGCATGTACACTACATACCTAATTGCGTAACATTTTCAATTAATAACTAAACGACAAACGTAATGGCTGTGTTTGGACCTCGAGTACTAGCATTCAATTATAAGGTAAAGGAAGTAACTTATAATGGACATAAATAACATAACTGGCTTTTCGCAACGGCAGGCAATGGCTTCTATAAACAGTGTCGGTGGACGGCGAGAAAGCAGTCGCATTAGCTTCCAATTAGTAATATAGTCGTTGCAACCAGTTGCAATTGTAAGCTGTCACTCAGTCGCTGTTGCGGCGAGTAATTTCTGCCCAGTCGATAATGGTGCGGGATCTATGTCATTAATATTCTAATGGCACTTAACTGAGTCGTTATTTGCTGAAAGGCGTCAATACTGCTCGCAATTGCTTGTAGATTTTATCGCAATTGCCAATAAGAAGTGGAGCTAATGGAAAATGTAAAGCCCGTGCCTTATATATTTTGTATACGAAAACTAACACTGTACCTTGAAGGACAACACATGGGCGTAGTGGTGTAAGCGTGACGAAATTCAGCTCCGGCGCTACGAACTGCTTTCATAGTCCTGGGCATAAAGTTCAAGCTTCCCAGCTCCACATCCTGATCGTCAGTCAGGATTAAAATGATATTTGGCTTCCTCTCCCTCGGCTGGGGATAAGGAATGTAGCCACCAGTCTGCCATTTGTTCGTTGGCTTCAATTTGGACCTGGTGGTGTTCTCCCTCACAGGCACGTGAGGCCTTTCCTGCGCCTTGCTCTGAGCAAGAGGCCTCCTTGCAGTATTCCACGGCTTCTCAACACTGCTTCTGTTCCAGTGTTTCTCTGTTTTCCTCGATTTATCATCCTTTCTCAAGCTGTACGGTTCTATTGTTCTGTTAGCACTGTCTTCCAAAGAATGAGCATCAGTGCCTTTCCTTCTATCTCTTCTTATCTCATGCTCCCTGTCCCATCTGCGACGGTCTCCTCGATACCTTGAGCTGTTCTTGTGCCTCAGATTCCTTCTTTCAGGGATATCAGTGAGGGTCCCATTAAATGTTGTCCTGTTTCTATTATTTTCTCTATTCCGTAATTCTCTGGATCTTGAAGTTTCCTCGTCTTCATACGAGTCTCGTCTTGCTGATATCAGTAAGAAATTCCATGTTAACACTAGGGATATGAACTTCAAATTCATATTGGTTTAGTGCGTTTGTTATGTTCTTAATTTTAGATAGTAACTTAAGTATGGTTTTGGGAGTGGAATAGATTACGTCGCCACATGGGTTTCAAGCTTGAAGGAGCGCTTCAGGCACCGAACCACCATTTTCGTGCACCAACTGCAACAAAAGAGATAACTGGTTAATTCTAATATTCATATTTTATTAGGCACACATGACACATCATCAGAAATGTCTATAAATGCCCACTTTGTACTTCTGAGTAAAGTTCTCTTCTCACACGGATAAGGTTTGAGCATTAATCACGACGCTTGCTCGAGATGGATTTGCGATTTCAAACTTATAATTAGAAATTATTCAGATTTCCTCACGATGTTTCCTTCACCATATGTCTGTGCTATCTCAATGAACTTAGTAAGTACAAATGACTCGGAAAAAGTCACATTGGTACATGCCTGAGAATCGGGCGCTTTAATCTCTGGGCCACCACGACATTGCATTACCCAATCAACTATAATACAAATATTAAAATATGAAACAGCAATTAGCAAGTCATTGATTGGAGTGAGTTCAATAACTTGAGACGCATACATTACATTGCCGAGCCTGAGGACACCTACTCCGTGTTTGGCCTGGATATTGAAATATGTTTCGTTGGCTCCGCAATCAATATCACAGCGTTTAATGGCGTTCGACCAGGGCATCAATCGTGGATTGCTTTTAACAGAATTGGACTGGTATTGGTGCGGGGGACTAGTGACTGGATAAATGTGCAGCTCAATACATGAGCTTTTTAAAAATACGAGTAGCTGTTAGGTTGTATTGATGGCAATGTCGTGGTGACCCGGGGTTAAGGCGCCCGCTTCTCATATATGAGGGGTGGGCTCGAAACCTGACAAGTACCAATGCGACTTTTTCCAAGTTCAGTATATGTACTCGTAGTTTCAATTGTTATTTAGACACCATTGACATACGGTGAAGGTAAGCATCGTGAGGAAACCTGGACTTATAATAACTAATTATAAGTTTGAAATCGCTAACCCGTATTGAGCAAGCGTGGTGATTAATGCTCAAACCTTCTCCGTGTAAGAAGAGGCCTTTGCTCAGCAGTGGGCACTTATAGGCTGATGATGATATTTTAATGACACCCAAAGTAAAACAGTTAAGATCTTACTGAAGCCAGTCAACAAATAAACGAGAATGTAAACTTATGCTGAGAACAGAAAATGAATATTTGAAATGATAGCTAAAGTGCAATGCCGGTATAAAGTAGCACTAAAATAAACTCCGTCGTATTTATGGACAACATTAGCATTTGATAGAGTAGTTTAGTGTTCATAGACAACTTCGACTTGCATGCAGTTTATATATAACGTAATATTTACGCTTGCTATGTCAAGAACAATATTGAAACAGTAACTGGCTGTAAAGAATACAAATAGTCTTAAATTGGCGGGAAAAATTAACGCTCTTTATTTAACATGGCGGCTGTGAACTGCAGGATCGTAAAATATTTTTTTATTAAAACGATTTTATTACTCAAGAGGCTGTGTATAAATTATTCTCAGACTGCGAAATAGTTAATCTCTATTAACTATGGAATATTTAAGCTTTGAATTGTTTACAAAGGAGACATCACCGTAACATTAGTTTTTACTTGGCTCATGTATATGTATACAGTGAGAGTCAAAAGTGCAATTGCAATTTACCAGTGCTAAAGTGTCCAATGCTAAAGTGTACAGTCCAATTCTTTTTATATTTGTTGTTCAGTGATTCCTTGACTGATTATTTTGTAGCATATATTCTAGAGTAATTAATAAACACAGGATTTTAGATTTCTGAACTTGTATCTGCACAGTTGGCACAGAGGCTGGGCAACTGGCTGCTGTACAGTGCGTGTCGCTGGTTCGATTCCCGCACGGAAAACAGTTTGTGTGATCCACAAATTGTTGTTTTGGGTCTGGGTGGCTTGTGTATGCTTGTAAAGGCAACCACGACACAGGAAAAATACCTAGTACCTATGGGGTAAAGTTTTATTAAAAAGAAGAAGAAAGAGGTTTTACACAAACATATTCGCATTGGCAGAGTGCTATTGCACTTTTGACCATAGACCGTATATTAATTTGGTGTGTGCCCGCGCGTGCGGCCGTCCTAGCACGAGCCGGCATTTCATCTTGATTTATATCCCCAGCCTAATTGATAGGGGACGAGATGCGATCGATGACGTCACACCACCCCGTTATATTGCCCTCTACAATATTTATTATACGATAGTTGGTTATTCTGCTCGTAAAACAATTCAGTGTAAATGAGAATGCCTGTATTCAAGTCCACGCGTGTATTATGTGTGTTAAACTAGTCAGTACATTGAACGAGACGAGTTAAGTTTAAAATACATGCATAATGCTGAAGTACTGCCGTGTTTTAAGATGCCAACGATGTGAATACTTAGTGGAGTGTGAATAGAGCAGGGCGCCCGCGCTGCGCTCTGCTGCGTGCGATGTTTCATTCTACCTTTCAAATTGACATAAAATTGTACATCTTCTTATATATAAAAATGGATCGGAAAATGTGTTGGTAAGCGCATAACTCAACAACGCCTGGACCAATTTTGCTGATTCTTTTTTTGTTGTGTTTGTTATTGTCAGGAGAAGGTTCTTATCAAAGAAAATATAAGAAAAGTAGAGGGGAAGATTAGGAAAAAGTGACCCTTTGATAGCGAGATAGTTGGACCCGTGCGAAGCGGGGGCGGGCCGCTAGTATGAATATATAAGTGAACCCCCATTGCATAACTCGTGCACTTGTACATGCTTTTACAATACGAATATATTTAAAATACCTTTGTCAGACTGATAAATAATACATTGTTCGCAAAAGCTTATGTCTGAAATTATAAAATGCACAAAAGCCCGAATTTACCTAGATTTGTAATTATAATCCCGTGCGGTGTCCACGAAAGGTCGTATGTGATAACAACATGGTTGGCGGGGCAGAGTGAAGGTAGACACTGAGAATTAAGGTTCGCATTAATAACGAGTGTTCATACAAGTTAGAACAAAGGCAACCCGAGCTTAGTATCTCATTCAGCATTTTCATTCAGTTGACCTTTTCAGTTGTGGTGTGTACAGCGAATTAATTTCTCTACAAATGACGAGCCTTTCATGTTTACCTAAGCTTTAATTAGCTTATACTGAACATTTCACTCGTGTTTAACTTTACTCTCGACGTGTTCGCTCAGCGTTTTCGTTGTTTACGAGAAGAGAGCACGCATCGCATCAACGTATAAAACATTTTCTAAGTTTTGTTTTGCGACTCGTGTATTTATGTGCAATGCGCTATAAAATAATATGAAAATAGTAAACGTATTGTGATTGTTATGACTGCAGATTTGATGTTTCGCCCACGTTTGAGAAACCAACACATTATATGTCGCTAGGCGTACGAGTTTGTATCGCAAAACATATGCTGAATAATAATATTTATTTATAGTTGGAATTTTAATATACCGCCTCGTTGGTTACGCCCCAATCTATGCTAAGTTGCCAGTTTCAATTTTCAGTTAGAATTAGTTTTGAAGGATTTTCTTTGCACAAATGCGGAATGCGGCTAATGTACCTCTTTGTTATTATTCGATACGTACTATATTCCGCGTTCTTTGCAAAGGCTTATCTAGTAAGACTTGAGGATCTTACGCCAATAATAACAGCTTGTTGCGAACTATTCCCTTCATTTCTTTCAGATATAAAGTGTTTCAATCTACACCGTATGTTTTCGCGTCATCACCGTGATTACGTCAAGGATAAAGTTATCACAAATAAAAATATTTGAATTCCGAACTCGAGTACATTACAATAGCTGGAAAGTTTTCGAAACCGATCGACTTTTCTTACATTTATAAGAGTTGGCCGATGCTTAATTAAAACATGGTATAAACTTGGTAATTCCGGTGACTGCTTGGCTTAAAATCAGGAAGTCGAGAGTTGCACAAACATTGTTAATGAGCCTTTATAAATTAGAGGGTAGTTAATCAGTCGATCGCTGGAGTTGGAGGCGGGCAGACTGCCGCAGCGTGCCACGTTCTCAGTAAATCTCTGTAATGGCGTTACAACAAAACTTTATTCTCTACTTGCTCTCTTGATAACATTAATCCCCTCGTAAAGATGAAACGACCTTGTTTTTTGCCGCTTATTTAATTACTTTGATAAAATTATCCTTTTAAAATGACAAGTGTTCTTTATACCTATACTTTCTTTAATGTTCCTTCGTTTAGAATTTTATGTTTTAAAGAGAAAGCACGTTATTGAATTGGAATTGCACGAGGGAATTGTATAATAAGACACACATTGATAGAAAGTAATGATTTTCTTGGAGAACAGATTATAAATGGAAGGAAAGTCTTTCAGAAATATACCCTGGTGGGTTTCTAAAGAATTTATACCAGAATAATAAAAATAAAACAAATGCTGTGTAATGTGTGGTTTAAGATAATATAACTTTCACTATTCTGCTCTATGTCAAAGTTGTAGGTTACTTTTTTTTCTATGGTATTGACAAAATCCTAATTGAGTAGAATCCACGGTTGACGTAGTGGCTTGGCAATCGTCTGCTGCACAGCGTGTTGCAAGTTCGATTCCCGCACAAACAACTCTTTGTTTTTCAGGTCAGTGGGCGTATTACGATCTCTTAATTCCAGTCAATTTACACCTTAAAATGAACTGCCTTATTTATCCGTATTATGACGTCTTATTGCCAGTCAGTTAGCAGTCACGTGACACTTGACCGATTTCTGCACGTATATTGGCTGGCAAACCCGTATTATGACCGCCAAACTGACATTTCTTAGCTTGCTCAAATGTCAAAATTTGTGTCAAACAAACCAGTCAGTTTACGCCGGTGTCGAGTAGCTTTTACTGAATTGTTTTAAGTTTTTATCACATACTGTTTACTATAACATTAAATATGTGTGATGAGTTAATAATCTTCGAGTTTCTTGAAAGTGATGCGTCACAAGATAACCACTAAACAAAAATTCAGAGGACGCGTCTTCGAGATCTTAGTGACCCTTTTGCGATTGAAGATGTTGAATTTATTTTATTATAAATAATGTAGGTAATACTTACGCCAATATTGAGTAGACAATATTAATAAACAACTTTAAA